GGGAGAAGTGAAAGCCACAAGCAGCTTCCATTGTCCGAAGGCAGGTGACATGCAAAGCACGAGGAGTGAAAGTGAACCGGGTCAGCAGAAATCACGTTATTAAAATGAAGGTGGGACACGCATCCTGACCCTGCGGGATGCTCGCTGTAAAGAGGGGAGCTGCGAGGACCTTCCCACCGGCCCGAAGGGACCGTTCGCTCAAGAGCTGTGCTCATGTGTCTGGGCAGTTCCTAAAAACGTTCTCTCCTCCAGAGAGTTGCCAGGCGAGCCCCACAGGGGCAGTTAGTTATTAGCTGGTTATTCCTGCAAAATATTCTTGTGCTTTCTACAGTAGGTTGATTCTTACAGGAAAGCCATTAAGAATATGCAAAGGGTTATAATTAGTGGCTATTTCTGCATAGCTTGTGAGTGGCATCCCCACAGAAGAGCAGAGGCAGGTTTGGTGCTGCAGGGGACGAGTCCCAGCTGGGCTTTCAGCAGAGATGCCAGCCTGGTCCCCCCTTGCAGATGGAGAAGCTGCTTCTGTGAGGTTCCACCGAGCCCTTCTCTTAAGTGCTGGGAGTGCTTGTGATCCCTGTGAGGTGATGCTGACCAGAGGTGTTTCTCTATCTCGTTCAAAAGGATGCCGACTCTTCCGAGCGGGTCCTCATGGACATGCGCTGGGGCCTGGTTCCCTCATGGTTCAAAAAGGATGACCCCTCCAAAATGCAGTTCAATACCTCTAACTGCCGGAGCGACACCATGCTGAAGAAGTCCTCCTACAAGGTGAGTTGTTGCTGTCATCGTGTCCAGCTTGAAGCTTTTTTAGCTCACAAAGCCAGAGCTCAAACATCTCCCTGGTGAATACCAGTTGCCGTTTGCCTGCTCCCTAGGGGATTAATTCTGTGTACTGCAGAGACGGTGGATTTCACTAACACAGAAGAACTGAAAAGGCTGTTGCTGGTGAATCTCATCTTTCACTGCAGCGCTGGTGATGGTGTTTGTGCACCCCACGGGGCATTTTAAGGGAGCGCTGAGAGGGAGCGAGCGGGCTGGATGGTCCCAGGAGCCCCCATCCTCCCGAGGCTGCTGTTCAGCCCTCACTTGTGCTTTCTCTCCCCCAGGGCGCTCTCCTCAAGGGCAAGCGCTGCGTGGTCCTGGCAGATGGCTTCTACGAGTGGCAGCAGCACAGCGCGGGGAAGCAGCCCTATTTCATTTACTTCCCCCAGAGCCAGGACGCCGTGGTAGGGAGCCCCTTGCCGTGTCTGAATGCTCACGCCCAGCTCTGAGCTCCTGCCCCCTCCCCTCCAGCTGTGCCGGTCTCTGGGGGTGTCCGTGGCCCAAGGGGCTGTGTCCTGTGGTGGGCTTGGTGCTCTGCCAGACCTCTGCGGCTCGCGCTCCCCACGTCACGCTTGCTGCTCCCCACGTGCTGGATATTTGCATGGGGCGTGATGTGTCACACAGGGGACTGGGGTGGCGGTTTCACTGCCTTTTTCCTTCGGCTGAGCCAGTGGCCGGGATGTTCAGAAGAGGAGGAGGTCACTTGATTGCCTGTGGAAAGATGAGGCTCCCAGTACCTCTCCTGGAGTTACCTCAGATTAGTAGAAGGGCTCCTGGAAAGCCCTCCAATTAGTTCGGTTATGTGTCATTGACCTCTGGTGCCACTGGCAGGTCTGTGATGCTTTGGCTGCCCACAGGTTGGCACCAACCAGAGCGATGAGGCCTCTCTCCTGCAGACTGAGGAGAAGGAGGGAGATGAGGAATGGAGAGGATGGAGGTTGCTCACCATGGCTGGGATTTTCGACTGCTGGGAGCCACCGTCAGGAGGAGAAATGCTGTACACTTACACCATCATCACTGTGGATGCCTCCAAGGACGTGAGCTTCATCCATCACAGGCAAGTGAGAGCGGGCAAGGGGGCTGCAGGGCAGTGGGGGGTGAGAGAGGAAAGCTGTGGCTTCAAACACCAGTCACGCAGCACGCAGGCCGGGGCAC